GTCAGCCCCGCCCCTGATTGTTTTCACCTGTCACCCCTTCTGTGTCTCCTGTGCTCATCAGCGTTAGCCCCGCCCCTTATTGTTCCCACCTGTGTCTTATTGTCATGTGTTTAAATTCCCCTGTCTCCCAGTGTTCAGTGTTCATTTTTGTCTTTTGCCTTGGTCAGGTCTTTGCTCTTTGGTACTATAGAAAAGTTTGTTCCTCACCACGTGAGCGATTTTCATTTTGTTCTCTATTTTTGTCATCTCAATCTGAGATTAGTTAGTGACCATTTTTTGTTCATCGTGTTTTGGAAAAATAAAGTATCTTACCAATACTTTACCTCTGTCTCCCGGGTCGTGCAATTGGGTCCTACCTCCTAAGTGTTTGAGTTCTTAACAGTAAACTCTTCAAAAATCACCAGTGGGGTCACTGCTGATGTATTTAATGTCATAGAACAAAACGTGATCCGTCTCTTAAATTTGTTTCAACCACAGACCTTATTTCCAGCTATTTTCAAAAAACATTTTCAAAAAAATGTTGACTCTGAGACGAGGGAACGTTTTAGGACTCGTTCCTGCACCACTCTATATGCATGTGCAGTGTGAGTGTTACCTGAGTCTGAGTGGTTGGTGGAGGGCTCCTGAGCTCTGGGGGTCTGTAGGGGTCCGTTACGCTCCTCCTGGCCTGGAGCAGTCTGCAGTAACCGCATCATCAATATTTATTTAGAGATAATACGCTGGGTTTAATCTAAGGCGATAAACAGTGATGTTCTCCTGTCATGTTGTAAAAGTTACATCATGTTATCACACCATTAAATTAAAGCTACTCGAGGATGCTGCTGAGAAAAGTATCCAGATCTGTTACTTGGTAAACGTCATTATTTTAAGATATATAAGAAAAACATCTGTATTTAAAGAATATTTTAATCTAGTGCAGCACAGAGTACAGCTTCCAAAATGTATGTAAGTAGAAGTGTAAATAATGTTTATTAATAGCAAAACTCAACCGAATCACAAGAATTAAAAATTTTTATTACAGCCTTTTAGTAAATGTACTTTCCTTCTGGATGTTTTCCCCACCTTGTCTGCGCTCTGCTCTCCGCCCTCCTCGTCCACGAAGCTGAACGACTCCCAGCTGACTTTGGATCCCGGTGAACTCTGACCTCTCTCAAAGACTCGCCTCTCCGGAGAGAGCCACCAGTCCAAGATGGCCTGGAGCTCCGTCGTCTCGATGGAGCCCAGGAGGATCATGGATTCTGCACCGAGAGAAGAGTGTCACAAGCTCAAATTAAAAACACGCTATATCTTGTTAAAAATGTGTGGTTATATTTTCCTGTATGGGACTGTTTATTGGCGGAAAGATGAGAGTTTCCTGGAGTTCGTAACGATTCAAGTAGATACTGTATACAAGCTTTACCCTGACATGCACCTCTTCAAAAATATTAGTAGATGACGCAGACCACAACTGTGATTCATTAGCTTGTTAGCATCACATTTCCTCCGGCTGCATAACCATTTGATCATGAAAATACAAAGTATCTCTTGTAACGTCCTGTCGTGTTGCAGTCATTTCAGTCAAAGTAACTGTCAATTTTCTCCATTCATAACCTGATCTGCTCAGTTTCAATCACCTTTGTTTAAGGCAGGGGTTCCCAAACTTTTCAGCCCGCGACCCCCAAAATAACAGTGCCAGAGACTGGCGACCCCCTGTCGACGGGGGGGAGGTCCTTGGAAAAAGTTTGAGAAACACTGCGCGAGTGGATTGTCAAAGGGGGAGCCTCGTTGCGGGGAAATTATACAGATGGCTAGTCCGCCCCTGACAATGTCTATGCAAACGTTATTATTAATAATAATAATTAAAAATTTTTTTTTAAAATCAATCATCTTTTATAATTTTTTTTTTTTAATTTTCCATTTTAATTTTTTAATCATTTCGCGACCCCCACTTTGGGATCCCCTGGTTTAAGGTATACAATAAACTGAACACAGTAGCATAGAAAAAACAAACGCCATCTTGCATTTAAGCGTTGTAACTACAGAGAGACGTACCGCAGCACAACTATAAATGCATGTGCGTACAAATATGAATCACCCTTTAATGTTTGCTTTACTTTTGTCAGTGTGGTGCGAGCAGTTCGCATTGATTCTAATGTTAATGCTAAGCTAAGCTAACCTCCTGGCTGTGTGGCATCACATTCAGCGGACAGACATGAGACCCATAAATATGCATACATGCCAACCTTTCCAAATCCAAAAGAGGTAGGTTTGCGTGCGGCAAATATGCACGCCAAATTAGGTAATCAGAAGAAATGGAACCCTAGTAATTACATGTATAAACCATGTATTTAACATATATTGCATCATTTTATGCATTTTCAGAAAAAGTGGTAGTTTGGTAAACAGTGACATCAACGGCACGTGTCTGGTCTGTAAAATGCCCGAAAAGTAAAAGAATGGGAGATAAATATCCCAAAGTCTCCACATTTTATTATATTTTTAATGTGTTTCTGGTCCTCTTTCAGTTGTGAGACAGTTTAGATGAAGGATGTGTCAGGATCGTCAGGATGTAGAACTATTGTGTGAACATTGGATAAAGGCAGGTTCATATTCTTGTTTCATGTCAAAGGTTTGCACAGAGCGAAATATCTTTGTGTTGCGCCATAAATCAGATGCTTTCAGATTGCTGTAGTTCACTAAACAGAGACATTAATGACATGTTTNCACCTGTGTCTTGTTGCCATGTGTTTAAATTCCCCTGTCTCCCAGTGTTCAGTGTCAGTTCGTCTTGTCTCTTGCCATGGTCAGTTCTATGCTCTTTTGACAAAAGAGCATAGAACTGACCATGGCAAGAGACAAGACGAACTGACACTGAACACTGGGAGACAGGGGAATTTAAACACATGGCAACAAGACACAGGTGAAAACAATCAGGGGCGGGGCTGGTGATGGTGAGCACATGAAACACACAAGGGTTACAGGTGAACACAATCAGACAATTAGACACACCAGGGGCCTTTCTCACTTCGGTTAAATGGATTCCTTGCGTCCCTCACTTGCGTCGTTTCCCTGTGACTAGTCCCTCCCACCAGGGAAGCATGGAGAGATGCCAGGAAACCACGAGAAGCAGGGAAATTAGTTTTAAGACCAATGGGACGTCCCTTCCTCCGGAGCGTCACGTGAAGCGACGTCCGTTTGTGATGACGCTGCACAGCTGATCGTCTGACAGCAGCCAGCTCTGTCCCCGTTATTTCCACACACTCCCCCGCCTCTGTTAGTACACATTTACTGACACAAACATTTGTATCATCTGTTGTAGACCCAAATAAATAAAATAAAATTAGAACTCATTCTCAAAAAAGCGCAACGCCATTCTTGAAATGTATAAACGAACAATAGTTTGATTAATATTGATTATTAGAGTGCACAAAATAAATAAAAATAATTCAGAGAAGAGAAAGAGATATGTTATCTATCAAAACCCAGTTAGATTAACATTCATTGGCTTCCACACTTTGTTTGTTTGTTTGTATATGTAGCAAATTAACATTTTAAATAGCACTTAATGACTGACTGAATGGAAATGATAATAAATGAAAATGTAAAACGAAAAAAGCGATCATGAAAATGTTTCCATAAA